AGGCCCGACAAAGTACTAATTATTTAGTACCAAATGTATAGCATATCATACTTTAATAAATATATTAATAATTTTTTATAATAAAAATTAAAAATTTTAAGTTTTAAATTAAGCCAAAAATTGTGCGGAGACTTTTGGCGGGGTCTGTATTTATTTTTATAACATTGTAGTAAAATTGTTGAATTAACCAAACGACATCTTTATAGTCATATATATAAACTGACTAGGTCTACAGGTAACTCTTTCCTTCACTTGCATTATAGCCTTAAGAAGATGAGTAATCAAGAATACATTTCATAGAAAATTATGCTGTATTCTTTAATTTACTATTGATGAATCATAAATATGATTCAAAAATTAAAATTGAATTCTAAATATCTGCCACTAATTTTGCTATTTATTTTACTTTGAAATTGACAAAATATATGGCGAGATCCGGTTGTTAGGCGAGGAACTTTCAATAAATTATCGAAGATTTTAGAAAATTTTTATTACTAGTACTGTATGTATTGATGTAATGAGAAGTAAAGATTTAATTTTGTTGCTTTTAATCATTATATTATTAATTTATCAACTGTAGATTGCCAGAGACAACGTAAAAAGTAGTAGAAATATAGCAGTTAAAGGAAAATGAATTAAGAAGTGAATCACAAATATGATTTCAAACACGAATTTGTCGAGTTCTTCGAGATATTTTCACTAAAGTTATAAATATAACATGCCAAGAGACCTTACTTCAAAAGATTTCAATTAATCAGGAAGACAAGCATTTACTAAGAACTACAGATGAACGTGTCTTTCGGGTGATCGTAAAATGCTTTTTCTTTTTTCTTTACAAAAAAAAAATATTCTGTTTTGTGTCTTAAGACATCATGTGATTAGTTTATAATTTCACAACATGCAAATAAAATATTCATTTTCTAACAATAATTCGCGGTTCAATTTGGCATTTCCAGTCTAGTTTTGTAAATTAAAGTTCCTTCTTTTTCGAAATTACTATATTTGGAAAAAAATTTAAAAGGACCAGGATCAATTCAATAATTTTAAGAGGAACGATTTATAAAAGGGATGACACAATGACTTATAATAGGAATTCATTACTAAATTGTTTAATGGTTAATCCGCATTTTGCCAGCACGTTATTAAATAATACCTTCTTTAGTTATATAACATATAACCTTTCTTTCACCTGAATCGAGATTTTTCATTTCACGACGACTAGAAATTCATGTAAGAGGTTTATTGAACTTTTTGATGAAAAGGCTCCCTTCTTCAATTACGAATCATACTTGAGAGAATTAGAAAATTGCAGCGTATTAAGACCACACATTGTATACACCAGGCAGCGTTGATTAGATGTTGATGGTTGAAGAAATATGTAAAATTATTTGTCGTATTGATTTGGCAAATTAATCAAAAATTTCAAAATCATTTTAAATTCACTCCAATCCCCTCGCGAATCCTTGAGTAAATTGCGAGAAAATTCAGCATTTTTAATAATGATCAAGCTTTTTCATATTGATTAGTCATTCATTTTACAAGGGAATTAATATTATGTCTTAATGGTATTTAAAAGTTTTCTTTTACTCAAAAAGATTACTTATCAGTTATCAGTCCTATCTCTCAGCCAAATCACAACTTTACGAGATATTGTCTTCTTTCATAATTTTGATCTTCTTGAAGATGAACATCATTTTGACGCTTTGATAGATTGTTGTAATCTTTCATCACATCACGGTTCTCCTTTAACTCTCTCGATTGATCATAAACCTTCCTTATAAAAAAACATTCACCTTAAGCTATATATCACATTTAACATTCTTTTCAACGAACATACATAAAATCCATTTATCGGCGTATTGTTATTATTTAATCCATTTTATGGTAAATGTACCGGCTTGCATATTCCTTCATTTTTCAAATCATTGAACAAATTAGTAATGAAAATTAATTTACGAAAATTCCGTTTAATCTCAAATGAGTTGGCGATAGAAAATTCCGAATCCATAGAATCCATACCGAATTCTATATATAATTTCACTTATTATTGGTGCTGTATTCACGAGTCAAAGACTTTACTTTCTCTATTTCTTGTACGATTGAACGAAAGGCGCATTGTGATTAACTATCCTTATTCATACTATGTTGATGATAATGATGAATACGTAATTGTTGATATTATATTATAGAAATTTATTATTCTCGTTGATTTAGACCGATGAATGAGATCCAATATTTTCTTTTTTTCATGATGTTTGTCTGTCTTATGTCATCTTATGTCATAACGAAAGCATTTTACTTATATATAGATCGACAGAATTAGGGATGGTATCGGCTTAGCAGAACTAAATATTAAAAAATGGAACTGGAACCGACTCCGGAACCGACTTTGGAACTGACGCATGTCATAAAAATTATTACGATCATATTTCAACTATCGATTAATGACCAATCAAATTTTTTTTTGATCGTTATCAATTGTTCTACGTATATTTTAAATTTAGTTCTAATGAGCCGAAGCGGAACCGACGATCCTCATCCCTACACGTACTGTATAATGACGTCTCAATAATTTTTCGACACTTAATGATGTCACAAACATGTGAAAGTTAAATGACTTGTTAGAAAAAAAATTTTTTTAATTAATTCACCGAATATACACTAACCTTTAATCAGTCATAGCATGGTATGGTTCAAAGTCATAGGTTCCCGTGTGACACTTAATTAAAAATGATTCACCTTTCACCATTTAAATTTTTTTTCAAAATTATAAAAATTACTTGTAATTATTCTGATATTCATAACCTTTTTTGTTTCTAGTAAACGAACCTTTTTTATAAAGTTTCAAATATTATCTTTAGGATTATGTGTTTTATTAAAGGTTTTAATATAAAGCAAAAAAAAAAAATGGAAAAAAAATTGCAAGAACTCAGTTTACAAACCAATCATCAACTCCTACCACCCAGACCCAACATAGGAACTAAAGGTAAAAAAGTAGTACTTCGTACTAATTATTTTAATGTTAAAAAGGTATATTTTCATATTAATCTTAATTGATACAGTATATTGTTTATAAAATATTGTTTAAATACTTAAACCTTTTTTTTAAAAAAAAAGTTCTCAAATGTGAAATTGTTTCGATATTATTTTGTAAGCTTTTCACCTCGTCGGAAACATAGTAAAACAATCCGAGTAAAAATTTTTATGGAAATAATAAAGCAAAATTTATTTGGCAATTATTTGCCGGTATATGGTGGAAATGATTTGATATATTGTACAACTAAATTACCAATGGGAAGCAACAAAGAAGATAATTTAGAAGTTAGTATTGTATATTTCATTCATTTCCTGTATCTTTAAGAAAAAAGTTATTTACTTTCTAATTTATTTAGGTCGTTCTTACACCAAGTGATGATAATTGCAAACCTACAAAATTTTAAGTAAAAATTAAAATTGCCGAAGAGATTAATTTACAATCTTTACAGGAATATATTGATTCGGGAAAAGAACCAGATGATTCAGATGATATACAAACTTGTATAAATTCACTGAATGCTTATTTAAATTTTAAAGTCTGCATTAGCTTTTTATCAGTTGGAAGCGGAAGCTTCCCCCCTGTAACGGATGTACAAAGAATATTTTTGGGTACTGGCGAGGAATTAAAAAAAGGATTCTGTCAATCTTTGAGAATAGGATGGGGTATGTTAATATTACAGGTTAAATGTACATTATTTTAGTTTATCTAAACTATTTTATTATTTAAATTTTACAGACCGTCTCTACACTAGTTTTGGCATTTTTTATCCACCTGGAAATGTAATGGATGTTATTGCAAGCTTCTTTTGGTGTGACAAAAATGATTTTAGGAATGGTATTAAAGATAATGATAGGATTTATTTAAATAAGGTGAATAAAATACGGTATTGCTTAAAAATTTCATAAAAAAAACTTTAAAATTGAACATTGATTTATAGTTATTAAAAGGAGTTAAGATTTACGTTTTGCATCGTGGTGAAAGGAAAAGAAAATATACTATTAGTGGATTAACGACGTCTTCAGCAGATAAAACTACAATTAAGCAGGATGATAAAGATATTACAGTTGCTCAATACTTCCTAAATTCATATAAAAAGAAGCTTGTGTTTGGAAAGCTTCCTTGTATTGTTTTAAAAAATTGCTATCTTCCTCTAGAGTACTGCGAGATATTACCAGGTTGGATTTAAATAAATCTTATAAACATTCTTTATTTGCCAGTTTCTTTTACTTATTATATCATTTTTTAGACCAACCTTTTAGGTTTACTGTTTCTGATTATGCTCGCATTGAAATGATCAAATTTACTTGCATCAAACCGGCTGAGCGTTTTAAATCAATTGATAGTTCATTTCTTAAACTTCTTTCGTTATGATCAAGACGAGTTTTTGAAATCTATTAATATGAATAATGATGTTGATACAAAGGTAAAAGTTACAGGTAAGAGTCAAAAAATGCAATTTATTCATTATTATTTTTACATTTTATTTTATGTTTTGCAATAGAAAATATTGATGAGATTTTTTCATTTTTTAAGGACGTGTTCTTCCTAATGTGTCAATGACATTTCATAAACGTAGTAGTCCTGCAGTTCAATTTATAGAAGGAGGACGTTGGAATCTCGTAAATAGAAAATTTCTTGATGTAAGTAAATATAAAAATTTATTTTAAATAGATATTTATGATTTACGACCTTTTTGCTAACTAAAATAAATCAGGGCCAGACATTAATTAATTGGTCAGTGTTAGTATTATCTGGTGATAACCACAGTGTTGTTCGATTTTTTATGCGACAGTTACGTGAAGTTCTAAACGAAAAGGGAATGGTAATATTACAGAATTATTTATAATCTTTTTTAGATATTATTTATAGAAATTAAAATTTAGTATTTTCTTTTAAAATTAGAATATTGCGTTTGAACCACAAATAGTACCTTGGACTTCGCAGAAAGATATTAGAGAGGTAATTACTTGTTAATTATTATAGTGTAAATTTTTTATTATATTTATTTTGTATTTTTTGATTTTATAGGGATTAATTCAAGCTATTAAAGTTAGAAAGGATCCACAAAAACCTCCTCAGCTGATTATAGTCATAATGCAAGAACGGTCTCGACTATATGCTGGGATCAAACGTGTTGGAGAAACTGATTTGGGTGTGAGAACTCAATGCATGTTGGCTAAACACATGAGAAAGCGTCAAAATGAACAATTTTGTGTAAATCTCGGTTTAAAAATAAACGCCAAACTTGGAGGTAGAAACTTTACCCTAACTCCTGGACAGATGGACTTTATTGCTTCAGCACCGGTGAGCATATTAAATAATATATGATCTCGAATTCTATTTAAAATTCTTGATTTTAATAAATAATATTTTTTATTTATAGACAATGGTATTCGGTGCAGATGTTATTCATTCAGGTAGAGCAGAAATGCATATACCTAGCATCGCTGCCGTTTGTGTCACTATAGATGCCAATGCCACACTTTATAGTGGTCGACATAGTATGCAAGTTATACCACGTAATGAGACTATTGAACATTTAGAGGGAATTGTGGTTGATTTATTAAAAGCTTTTCAAGCTAAAAATAAATGTCTCCCAAGGAGAGTTTTATTTTATCGTAATGGAGTTAGCGAGTGGCAATTTAAATATATCTTGGAAGCAGAAGTAAAAACAGCATTAAAACGAGCATTTAAAATAGTATATGACAATAAACCACCAAAAATAACTTTTATTATTGTACAAAAAACACGTCATACAATGCAATACAGTTTATTCCATTATTTATGTTAATAATTTTTTTATTATACTAAATTTTTTTACAAATTAGTTTTCATTCAGATCCGTCACATGAAAAAAATAATAATGGTAATTGCAAACCAGGAACTGTTGTTGATACAGGGATTGTTACAATACATATATTTGATTTTTGTAAGTTTTTATTATTTACAATTTTTATACACTCAAATAAGTTATTAATGTAGTAACTTACTATATAGTCTTACAATCTCATGCCACCCTTCAAGGAACTGGACATTCATATTATTTTGTATTAAGAGACGAAAACAGTTTTGATGCTGATTCTCTGCAATTGTTAACGAATAATTTATGTTATTTAAATGCAACGTTAGCAATAGTTTTATTAATATATATTTATGCTTATAATAAATAAATATGTCTAAACATGCAATATTTTAATTAAGGAGTACAACAGCTATATCAGTAGTTACCCCCGTATTTTATGCAAGTTTAATTGCAAATCGCGCAAAAAATTATATGATTTGGGATAGGCAAGCTTCGAAATCTTTAAATGAAGAAAGACCCACATGTCTAGCAGTAAAAAAGGATATAGAAAATATTATGTATTTTATTTAAAGATGAGGAATAATTCAAGAGAGAAATTGGTTCTATAATAGGTCATTATTTTTTGAACTGAATTATTATTGCTCACTTGTTACAGTTTGACAATATAGCAATTATATCATATTGAAATTAATGAAAAATGAAAAAAAGGATGATATATTATCATAAAATGTTGTTACAATAAAGTTATAAAAATTATAATATTTTCTATATTGCAAGGAGAGTTGACTCTTCTTAAAGACCGTCATCCAGTATTTTTATTTGTAATCATAGAAAAAAAAGCGGAAAAGTCAAGTCATTGAACTCCTCGTTATACTTTATTTATTTGGTTATACATTTTTTTTTGTTTTAACAAAAAAAAACTAGCATAACCAGAAGAAAAGAAGTTGCGACGACAAGTCATTGATTAATATAATTTTATTTTTGTATTAGTTTTATTTTTTTTTTTTTTATAAAAAAAAAAAGATGCATCAGAAGAAAATAAATTCTGGCCAAATCATTTTATTTTATGCGCAATCGAACATATTGGTTAGCAATATCTGTCATTTGTAGGCAAATTTAGAGTAGTCGACATTGCATCTAACTAAGCTGATGATTACCGTCGCGACTCAAATATTTGCGTAAGAATTTATTTCCTATTCGGACCGAAATTATAGCCAGAATTAAATTGCATTGCATAATCAATCACATTCAGCCAAATTTATTTCATTTCAAATAATTGTTAATGTCACCCTCGGAATTTGTCTGGATCGGCGCGGCATTAATGCTGTTATTTCAGACATATCTGTTGGAATTGACATTTTAAACCTTTACTTTAGGCCCACAGAGCGCAGTTATAGTTGCATTTTTTGTATTATTTAACATTTTATATAATAAATTTAGTTCTCTACATTTATCTCAATAAAAATTTTTTATTATTTTAAATTGCTTTACATTGATTTTTTATTACATTTTAACAAACGTATAAAAACATTAATTACCTCTTTACGAAATTAAGAGGCGACATTAGCAAATTCGTTCCGAATTCACGAGCCTATAAATTTAATACTGACAAATTGTATTGTAGCATTTAATTATTGCAATCAAGTATTTACATATTTATTAAATCGATAATAAAAAGGTCAGAATGTTTAAAAACAAAATGGTTCGACGATTAAGTGAAGTAATAAATTATACCTCGTAAAGTTTTATATTATAAAAACACGAGAATCCTATTCAAAAATGCATATAACATTTATATTAAAATCGATTATACTTCTTATATTTCATTTCAATAAAAAAAAACCTTCCAAATCATGTTCAACTTTAACTTTAATATTAAGATCATCTGATATACTGTATCTGCTTCCGAAGATTCTCCCGAACGTTATTATCAATTAATCGCTTGGGATGATTAATTATTGGAATAATGAATACGACAACCTTTTACTAATATAAACAGATGACATTTGTCAATTATAATTATATGGTTTCAATATATGAGGCGGTCGAGGAAATCCATTGGTCAAAATTTTATTATTTGACCACTTAGCTGATCTCGTATGCACAAAATAAGAAGGGTGTATAAATAAATTTCAAACGATTTTAATAATTATTTATTTATAATTTTTGAATTAATGCATAAAAAAATTAAAACAAGTCATGGTTAAATAAAAAAAAAATTTTAAATTTAAAAACAAAAATATAATTTTTTTTTGGATTATTTATTTTTGGTTTTTTTTTTTGATGGCGATTTTTTGTTATATTTATATTTCTTATTTTCTCTCATGTCGCAAAAGTTTGGATTAGATATTATAGTATCGCTTCGCTCTAATTCTTTATCTAAAAATTGATATTTTTGTATTATATAACATTTTATAATTGGATTTTTCGAATCTCTTTTGTAATATTTTTTTTTTTTACCCCATTTTTGGTATACAATACCTTGTTCTTTCTAAGTTAAAATATATCCAATAAAACCACCGGTTAAAAACATATTCCTTCATAATCATAATAATCCCACAAGCTATTCATCCCAGCCTACACATAATTTGTAAAAAATGAAATATTCTCATTCAAAGAATTAGTTGACCATTAAAATAAAAGATAATATTACTGTGAATATTATTAGTCTTGTGCAATGCAAAACCCCTATTCCGATAATTTGAAGAAATAGAATTACTAATATAAAAATATTCCAAAGTTTACGCACACCATCTTCCCAATTAAATTTCTACAATGTCTACTTTATATAAGATCATCTACATTGTTCAGGAATAGGATAATTTTCTCGAATTACAGCGCAATTGCACAATAACAATTATAGATAGTGATTGTTGTTTATACTTACGACGAAAGAGCTAGAATCTATTCTTGTTTAAAATAAAACCTTTACAAGTACCATAATTTAAATTTGCAAAATTTCGATATTCATTAATGTTTTTCAAGCATTATGACCGCGATTAATTTTTTTTTTATATGCCTCAATATTGTTACATGAGCAAAATAAAAAATATTTGTAGAGGTGAAATCAACATGGCACCTGATTAATATAAGTATAATTGTTAAAAAAAGAAAAAAAGTAAGTAGGAGAGGGAAAGGCGTCATTACAAATTCAATTCATTGGTTAATAACTCTTTTGTCATACAATAGATAATCCATCATTGAATTTGGATAAAGTTTTAACTCTTGTTGTGAAGTTTCTTTAATTATTTCTAATTCTAATTACAGTAAGTGGAAACGAATAGAGTTCTTTTTATAAATATTAAAAGCAAAATTAAATTTATCGAAATTCCAAAGGATCAACATATTTCAGGTAATACAAAGCACAACAAATAAAAATTAGCCAAATTTTGTTAATTAAAAACCGCCTTTATAGGTTACATAAATAAGTTACACGACATCGAGGAGTGTCAGGTATTTAAATCATTACTTGAAATCTTTCTTTGACAAACAACTTTCATAATAAATATGTCAACAACAGAATTAAATAACTTTGACGATGATTTTAATTGGTTTGAAAGAGCGATATCGGAAAATTATATCAAATATTATGATTATTCTGAATTCAATAATTGTGAAGAAATCAGCAGCGGTTCATCTGGAAATGTATTTCGCGCAAATTGGAAAGGTTCAGAAACAATTATGGCTTTAAAACATACATACAAATTGACAATTAAAGAGATTGTTAATGAGGTATTACAATTTATATTTTATAACTATTATATTAAACACATTAAATAACTATATTAAAATATTATAGATAAAAATGCAACGAGAAGTTGATTATCATGCAAATATTATTAAATTTTATGGGATATCAAAATCGGATACAACAAACAAATATTTGTTGGTTATGGAGTACGCTGATTGTGGACCATTGCAGAATTATTTAAAGGCAAATTTTAATAGACTAGAATGGAGTAGTAAATATCAATTAGCCTTACAACTTGCAAATGCTGTAGCCTGTTTGCATAACGAAGGAGTTATTCATTGTGATTTGGTAAGGTAAAAATATTTGCTTTATCAATTGTATATCTCAAACAAGTTAATAGTTAATATACATTCTTATTGTTCAAATAGCACGCGCAGAATGTACTTGTGCATCAGAATAATATAAAGTTGGCAGATTTCGGTTTATCTCGAAAAATAACTGATGCGTCGTCAAGTTATTCATCAGATGTGTTGGGTGTTGTTCCTTATGTTGATCCACAATATTTAAATAATATTTCAAATAAAAATAAAGATCAACATTATATTTTAAATCCAAAATCTGATATTTATAGTGTTGGAGTCCTTCTTTGGCAAATTTCAAGTGGACATAGACCTTTTTATGCCGAAAATGTAAAGTATGATGTGAATTTAATTATGAAAATTAAAGAAGGCACGAGAGAAAAAATTGTCATGGACACTCCAATTGAGTATAGTAACTTATATGAAGGCAAGTAAAATTTTAATGCGCTATGCTTATTTATATATATGTACAACTTATAAATAAACTAATTATTTAAATTATTTTATTATTTATTAGCATGTTGGAAAGATGATCCAAATGAGCGTCCTACTATACAACAAGTCATTAAGTCGCTTCATTCAATAATTTATGGAAAAAATAATTGTGAAATAGATTCTATCATTCATTCAAAAAATACAGAAGTAATGAACTTTGAATGCATCATGTATAGTAATAATTCTGATTTATTTCTTAGTAGATTAATGCAGGATTTAAATCTTGAAACAATATATAACGAGTGCAATTCACATCACATTTTATATCAAGCCGAAAAATTATTTATGGAAATATATGATATAGAAGATAGTATTAATACTCTTATTGATAAGCTAATTAATCTATTAATTAAATCTCAAGATGAAGGAAATAATTTCAATGAAACAGAACATTTTATTAATCATTGCATATTTCTTTCAACACGAAATTCATATGAGATCTTTGAATGGCTTAAAGAAAACCAAGTGAAATCCCATTATCAATTTTTCTTGGGAATTATATATTATAATGTTGAGAAAAATTTTAATGAAGCATATAAATTATTTTATAAAGCCTCGGAAGATAATTATCCAATTGCACAAGTTTATCTTGCAAATTGTTATAAGACAGGATTTGGAACCGAGATAAATTATAAACTAGCTTTTAAATGGATGCAAAAAGCCGCAGAAAATGAAAGCATTTGTGGACAACTTAATCTTGGGATTTATTATGATAATAGTATAGGAACAGATTCCAATTTAGATAAAGCAATTTATTGGTATCAAAAATCTGCTAATAATGGAAATTTATGTGGATTATTTATTTTAGGTAGATGCAATGAACTTGGAATAGGTATAGAAAAAAATGAAAATAAAGCATTTGAAATATATAAAAGATTTCATGAAAATGATTTCATAAATGGAAAATATAAGCTCGGGATCTGCTATTATTTTGGAATTGGAACTGAAGTTAATAAAAAAGAATCGTTTAAAATATGTAAAGATTTAGCTGAAAAAGGATTAGAAAATGCGCAAGCTTTTCTTGGTTATTTATATAATCAGGGTGAAGGCACAAAAAAGGATTTAGAAAGGGCCTTTTATTGGTATCATAAAGCAGCAGAAAATGGTAATATTGATGCAATGTATAATTTAGCACAACGTTATCAATATGGACAAGGCATAGAAAAGGATTTAGTAAAAGCATTTTATTGGTATAAAAAAGCCGCGACAAATGATAATATAGTTGCAATGGTTTATTTAGCTTTATGTTATAAAAATGGAAATGGAACGGAAAAGAATTTAGAAATGGCTTTTTATTGGTATCAAATAGCGGCAGAAAATGATAACTTAATCGCGATATATGATTTAGCTCTATGTTATCGATATGGAAAAGGAACTGAAAAGGATTTAGAAATAGCTATTTATTGGTATCAAAAAGCAGCAGAAAATGGTAATGAGATTGCAATGTATCATTTAGCTATATTGTATCAAAACGGAGAAGTAATAGAAAAAAATTTAGAAAATGCTATTTACTGGTGTCAAAAAGCAGCTGAAAATGGATATGTTAGAGGGCAAAATTATCTTGCATCTTTATATGGAAAAGGCAAAGGTATAGAAAAGAATTTAGAAAAATCTTTTTATTGGTATCAGAAAGCAGCAGAAAATGATTATGAAAGAGCAATGTATAATTTAGCATTATGTTATCAATATGGAAAAGGAACAGAAAAAAATTTAGAAAAATCTATTCATTGGTATCAAAAAGCAGCTGAAAATGATCATACTGGTGCACAAAATGTGCTCACAATATTATATGAAAATGGTGAAATAATAAAAAGGGATTTGGAAATGAGTTTGTATTGGTGTCAGAAAGCAGCAGATAATGGAGATGATTTCGGGCTGTATAATTTGGGTGAACATTATGAATTGGGAAATGGTGTTAATAAAGATGAAATTAAGGCGTTCGTGTATTATAAAAAGTCAGCAGAAAATGGATTAGTGGATGCAAACTTTTATCTCGGATATTGCTATTTAAATGGAATTGGAACAGAGATTAATAAAGAAATTGGGTACAAGTTATATAATGAAGCTACTGGAAAAGGAGATATCTCAGTGCAAAACAATGAATTAGATAAAGTTAATTATTGGTATCATCAAGCTGCTGAAAACGACAATAAATTTGCATTTTACAAATTAGGTGAAATTTACGAATTAGGAAAAGGTGTAAGTAAGAATTTAGTTAGAGCATTTGAATTTTATAAGAAGTCGGCTAATCAAGGATGCTTGGAAGCTTTATATAAAGTTGCCTATTATTATGATAATGGAATTGTCATTGAAGTTGATAAGGAAAAAGCTTTAGAATTGTATAAAATTGCAGCTGAGGAAGGAAGTAAATTGTAATGCGTAAAATATCTGCATATTTATACGAACATGGCGAAAGAACAGACAAAATATAGAATGATAGGTATAATAAAGTGGATGTCAACAAGCAAATGAAAATTTAAATAAAGAATTTGTTAATAAATTCTTAAATGTTTTATTTATGAGACAGTTATTTATTTTATATTAAAATCAAAAATTAAATAATCTTATTAGTGATCGTACTCGTGTCAACTCTAGACTCGTAAATTAAAGTACTCAAATCTTGTGATCGAATCATATATTTGAGAATTTTTTTGGATATTTTTCTTTCTGCGTAAAATACTGTTTATATGGAACAGAAACAAACGAAACAAACCATTCTGATCGCATGAATATTATTATAGGAGGAAAAATGAATTGTTTTATTATTTTCAAAAAAAAGCAATCATCATTTTGGACCATAATTATCATGAGGAAAAAAAAGATAAAAAAAATTAGTAATCATCACGGGATAAGAATAATAAATCATTACAGGAAAAAAAGTGATAAAAAATATTAGCAAATCATTACATCATTACGAATCAAAAAAAAATTTTTTTTTTCAGATCTAAATTGTATTAATAATTAAAAATAATAAGTATTTATTATTCCTTTTTCCTTTTCAATTGAAGATTGCAGAAAGAATTTTTTTTTTCTTTACAAAATCTTTACGGCGCCAAATTTAGTAGCTGCAGCTCTCTGACATGTCATTGTTATGGGCTTTTTAACAATCTGTCCATCAACTGCGATTAATTGATATTTTTAAGGGGGTTTTATAATAAATATCTGAAAAGAAATATTATTATCGTCGTTTGCTTTGAGTTTGAATTAGAAAGATTCTCTTCTCTGAAGACCTATTACAGAGCGCCGGCTGAGCCTGTAATAATTAAATTTTTATTTTATTTAATCGTTTGATTTCCAAGTGATCGATTCCATATCATTAAATAAATAATATTTTTATTTTTAACTTCCCCTCCCATGAGTTTACTTTTCTACATAACATGACTTACCTGTTGCTTTTTCATGAAAGTCTTGACATCTTTGGAAATAAGACGTATGTTGACCTTTTAATTTGTGCTTAAAAAAATCTTTCGATGGTAATATTTACTAACTTAGCCTTAAAAGTATACCAATAATGTTTTAAAATTGGCATGTAAATTATCTCATTGCAAACTTTGATTAAATATAGTAACAAAATTTAATTTTATCTTCGATTCACTTTCTAGATACAATTTACATACTTGAAAGATTTCTCATTCAATTTAAATCATTAAAATAAATATTTTTTCTTTAAAATATACCAAATAAATAAAATCTTGGAACGTGACAAAAAGTTCAGAGCTAGACTCAAAGAAAAAAGAATTTCAAAGATTTTAGAAGAAAGACAAGATCGACTAGATGCCAACTTGGTTCGGCTGAACCAATGGAATGCATTCAATATAAGTATCAAAGAAAAAGTAATATATAATTACGATATATATTTTTTGACCAAATTATTATGTAATGCTTTTCTTTGTATTGTATTTTGATGAATTTTTATTTTTTTTTTTAACAGTGAAGATGTAATTTTATCAAAACCCTTTTCATATTATGTAGCAAAAATATTTTTGTCAAGCTTTTATTTTTTTTATAAAAAAATATAAATGATTTAATAAAAATCTGGAAAAAATATTGTTAACTAAAAATTTTTAATGATTTCAAATGAAAAATTTATAATTCTATTTATTCGTATCATAAATAATAAAATTTTTGGTAATAACGACATTCGTGAAAAGTAATTTGATTAGCAGGCAATTTAATTTATATGGTAAGATAAATTATCTATAAGTAATATCAGGTGAAATTGTTACAACTTGGATAATGGTATAATAATTTAATGAAAAATTCAAGGTCTTGAAACTTTTTATACTTCGTCCCTTCGTCTGATATTTTTTTTTTAAAAAACTTGATACCATAGATGCAATAATATTATTTATTTACCTTGTTTATCTTGACAAATCCCTTTAATCTCCTGTTTCGGCAAATAACGTCAGGAATAGTTTTTTCTGTTGCTGACCACTCTATCTAGCCAAAATGTAGCTTCATTACCTTAGAGATTACTAAAAAATAGCACTCTGATCCTGCAAGAAATAAATATTGAATTGTCTTTGCAATTTCTAAACTAAGTTGTCTTTGACATATTTATCCTTGAGATATCTTTCTAAACACTAATCGCTGTCGCTGCAAAGAAATTTATCCCTATGAAAAAAAACCATACAGTTTTTGTTTAGCTTTTGTGCCAAAAAAAGCACTACAATTTACGGACTGTGCAGGGTTCCACGTTGGAAGATCAAGACCTCATATGATTTAAATACTATTCTATCTAAGATTCAAAATAAAATGGATGTTGATTCTGACAAGCAAGACTCAGCTTTTAGTCTTTCGGGTAATTTATAACATTTATATCATTTATATATATGCAGTAATAATGAAGTTTATTTTATAGAAAACTTTGTAAGTGATTTAGCAAAATAATATTTACAGCCAAGATGCAAATTTCGATAATAATCATCAGGTAAAATCTATAAGAATTGATGATTTTCGTGTTTGTAGATGATAATAAATATTTGGGAACTATTATCAAATTCTACAAGTGTCAAACCAGTTCGTACATCTTCTGAAGATTAAGAAGATCTGAATAACAGGACAAATACTGAATCCGCAAAAAGACCTAAAAAACGAAAATTAAATTTAAAACAAAATTTGAAGCCCATTGCTAAAAATACACGTTCCAAGTCTAAGGCTAAAACGGCTAATGTAGCCGGTAAGACTTCCTTTTGATATTTTATAATTTTGATTATTATCTGTGTTAAAATGGCATTTTATTTTCATTTATTAGAATGATAGCTTTAATTTCTCATTTATATTTTAATTCACATTAATTTTTCACTTTCGTTGCTAAAAATTTTTATTTCGATGCTTTATGTACACCTTTCTGCTAATATTTAATTAAAAATTTATTTGGAATTTATATGTAATAAATTTAATATTCTATTCTTTTATGATTTATAATCTTAAAACTGAAGTTATATAGAATAAATGAGTTATCATGTTTAAACTAGATTTCTAATTTAATAAATGGTATCAAAATATAATAGTTTAAATTTATTTAAAGTTTATACATTATAAATCAATAAATAAGATATAAACTTAATAAATTTACGATATATTTCTCCATTTCAATTTGTAAATTAAATTTAACGAAAATTTCTTAATGGCGATAAAATTGAGTAAATGTATTTGTAATTTATAAGCTGTAAATTTAATGTAAATTCCTTGCTAAAGTTCTAAAGTTCTAACGTCTTATTATTTTCCTAAGTTATTATCATTCATTGCTAGATTAACCACATACACACCACAAACTGCATCTAAGGGTCCAGTTAAATGAATATTGACATTATTAAATGTGATTTCCGTGAAGAAAAAAGCAAGGAGCAATAACATAATATATACTGACCTTTTAAATGTTTTCTCCTCTCACGTCTTCATCTGAACTTGCATTCATGTTGGAGATGAGATGGGAGAATATGCAATGCCTTTACGCCAAAGTTTTATGTTCGAGAATAAGGATATGCGGAATGTGCATTAAACATTTACAAAGGCGCTTAATACTAAGACCTAATAACTATAAATATGCTACGGTCGGAATTTAATAGTAATAGCCGCAAATCGGTTTAAATTCAGTTTAAACCGGTTGCAACATAAAACCGGTTCTAATTTTTTAAGATTCGAAAACCGGTATTAATAAAATCATTATATTGCGAAAATTGAAACCGATTGAACATGGTTCCAACCTCTATTACATATCAGTAAATTCTATTCATCGCACAAGCACAGTCTCGGATCACCTTCCTCACAATAAATGTTCGGTAAAAGATTTACAAAAATAATATAGTAGTTGGCTACTGAGCCTCCTTTCTCCCGAAAATCCGAGAAACACATACCTACATGCATTTTGGCTTACAGTTTAAAGAACTTCACGTTGCCTTTGTCTATCAGAAATAGACATTTTAAATTATTTCTGAAAAAAATATTTTTTAAAAGAAAAAAAGGGATCAACAAAAATAAAATAATGCCAATCATGTCTTTTTAGGGAATCCCGAAAGGTCAAAATCACAAAGGATCATAATCTCGAACGATCATAATCACGAATGGCCATAATTCCGAATAAAAAATATAATATAATAATAGTTTGTTAATTGCAAGGTTTGATTGTATCGCACGACATTATTAAAATTTTATTAATTATTTTTAAACTTTTTTTCGATGAGATAATGAATTGTATGATTTATCGATGATTGGCAAAAAATATTTTAAATAGTAGTCAAGATAATGATTTATTTGCTAAATTTTAAAGAAAAAATTTAAAATTCTCAATAAACTTCGTTAAACAACTCTTTAAATATGCTTAATATTTTTAATATTTAATAAAAATAATATTCGGGATTATGGTCATTCGGGATTATGATCGTTCGGGATTATGATCCTTTGTGATTATGATTTCGGGATTATGATCTTTCGGGATTATGACTTCGGGATTATGTTCATTCGGGATTTCGTACCAAACCCCTTTTTAGATTTCACTGTTTGATCGAATTGGATTCAGTATTATCATCCATGTCATGTCACGGGACTTTAATTACAATTTTTTTCCCAAATCTCTATATATAGGTCAAAATAATTGAGCTTGAGTATGATAAATTATTAATTTACTTATAAATAAGTAAGATTTATTAATTACGATGTTCTTACGTAAATTACAAAATTTGATATTATTGATAATTCTATTATCTGTCATCAATACTTCCTCTCATCCATATCCTGTACAAGAAGCAAAGTTTCATCCGTATCCCGTACATAGAGTAGGGCTTAATCCACGAGGATATGATACTATATTTAATTTATGCATTCATTGGTACGATTATACCCAACAAGAGAAATCGACTGTGTGTGACTTACCATATCATAGCCCATCATCAGTTACATCTCCGGATTGGTCAATAGGATATAAATTATCTATACATACAGAATCTGGTACTTTTCATGAAGGACCATATTTATGGTGGGATGGCTGGGTAGAAGGAGTATATTGTAACGATATACATCTTCATATAAGAGGTTTCCAGCTTATACTTTCTTTTGGTTTTGATATAGTTTACGACAATAAATGTTTCTGGGAATAATAAATCGGATGATTATTTTTGGAGGAATTCCACAGAAGCAGTTGTATTTTCACTAGTAATATATCCTATATTTAAGATAACATAAGGCATTTTTCTTATTAAGTAAAAAAAATAATTTTTCATTTATAAAATTAACTAAATAAATAATTTTAATTTCGCCAAAAAAACAATATTGATTAGTTGCACATTTTCACTTTTTTTTTTTGATTTAATTTAAGAAAAACTAAAATATTAAAGTTGTTAAAACTTAATTCTTGCATAAGTCTTTCATAGCTTCTGGAAGATGATTTTGCAGAATTTCCACATAAAAATTACCTGTCCTTATCATTTTATCATTTGTAAACAAAATGTTCCTTTTACACAAAATCCTGCCTACGCAAAGGTTTTAGTTCGACCTTTTGCATTCATCTAACTAGTCGTGCATCTTCATAACAGCATTGAATTGCGTTTCTGAATTATTGAAAAAGATGTTTGTCTGTAAATAAATATAACCTACACCTATTGGTGTGGTTTTTGGTAGACTTTTTATACCAGTACTTGTCAGATGCTTTGAAATAGAATAGTAGAGTAATAATTATTAAATAATATTTTTGAGTGAGATTAATTTACAATTTAATTGATTTTACACCTAAAAATATAATTTCTCGAGATACATGTGCAATTGGTGTGGAAAATAAAAACTCTTAATGTAAATCATTTGACAGCCCATATGTTTTAATCGTCTGGTAGCTTATTTTTATATCGGGTTATTAAATCCAGAACTGGGTCAAACTTATTTAATGCAAGCGAATCCGTCTGATTCCTATCCTTATTCCATTTCACAATCGAAATTTTGATTATTATAAAGAAGCACTTGCTTTCAAAAAATATTTCATGAATTTCATAGAAAATTTTAAACTGATTATAGTTACGCATACTTAAACTTTTAAATTCCAAAGTTTATTTCAAATATAATGATTATTATTCTATAACATTATGTTCAAATAAACTAATATTACGAAATA